AAAGATTTAATGATCTGTTTTCCTCCTTGAAGTTGTCTTACTTTCTGGGTGGTTTTCTGTACGTTTAAGCACGCTTTTCCTTCTATAATGATGTTTATTTAGAAACTCATTCTTACCATGTCTGTGGGGTGAGTTATGAGGAAGGTGAACATACAGATGAAGTGAGCCTGGTTGCTAGCATACATGTGCCCTGGGAACTGACTGCCTGAGATGCAATCCCATTCTCCCCATTTGATTAGGTGTATTACCTTGAGCAAGTGACTTAATCCCCCAATGCTTCAGTTTCCCTACATTCAAGCAGAAGATATCGGAGATGCTCAAGTTTTGAATGCTTATTTAATTTCCTCATCTGTTAAAAACAGATTAAATATACCCATTCAGAATTGTTTTGAACCTCAGTAAAACAGATAAACCCATTCATCCATTTCTATGCTCTTTGGAGCATAGAGAAAAACAAGAGAAATAATCACCCAACTTATTATAACACAACTTTGGTTTAAAAATCCACCAAGGTGGGAAAAGAAGATTATACTCCGGTCTTCTTATGAAGGTGCATGAATAGTTCCATATAAGATATCATTAAATCAAAACCATTAGAAATAGATTATGGTTAAGTACTGTGGACTGTTTATGTACAATTGGCTTCGTTTTGTTCTCAAACCCTGCTGAAACAAGAATAAAGAAATCAAATATATACCCACAGGGACAAAAGAGATGGATAAAACCTTTGTGGGCAGAGATGCCAGCACAGTTTGAAAGGAAAACTGATTACAGAAGGATATTACACAGCAGAGCAGAGAAAGTAAAGGTCTTGATGTCTGTGAAGGAAAGTATCAATGACAATAGCAAGGATTTTTATCCATATAAGACCTGAAAAGGCTTGGGTGGTGGAGACTCCATGTTCTTTAAAGTCTTGGATGGTAGAATGAGGGCCAAATAAAGTGAAAGCAGCAAAGTTGGTTGAAATACTAAGGATGGAAAAGTTGCATTTCTGAATTCACTTTTCCATCCCAGTAGATGACGAAAGGCTTATTGTTATAGACTCCTTAATAAAAGCCTGGAAAATAAGCCTTATTTTTATGGACTTCTTAAACTCTTTATACCAGTATACTGAGAAGGAACTACAAATTAATCATATGAACTAAGTGGTTTAATTAGCTTCCCATCACTAATGAATACTTCAGATGATAAACTTACAAAAGAGAAAGGCCTATTTTAACTCACAGTTTGGGAGATCTCCATGATTGGTGCCTCACTTGCTATAGTCTATTACAAAGTAGCACATCATAGCAGGAGTGCATGGAAGAGCAAAACCACTTACCTCTTGGCCAGGAAACAAAAGAAAAGAAGAGGAAAAGATGAGCTTTCACTTTCCTCTTTGATGACCCAAAGAGACCTATCTCTTAAGGTTCCACCACCTCCCAACAGGGACAACCTGGAGACCAAGTCTCTAACATGGGAGAACTCAAGATTAAACCACATCACTGAGTCTGTGACTTAGAGAGAGAGCACTGACCGTGTGCCATCCTCCACTCTAAATGTTCCACGTGTACTGATGGATTTCGTCTTCAAAAGCACACATCAGACTAGAAGAAAATGTACAACAGTAACCAACACAGTTTTTGTTCATTTATTTTTTTTGGGGGGGGTGTCTTGCTATGGAGCCCAAATGGTCCTCATATTCAAAATTCTCTTGCCGCCCACCTTCCCAGAGCTGGGATTACAAGCATGCACCACCAGGCCTAGCTGGCATTTTTTTTTAAAAAAGAATAGCAACAATAAAAAATGACACTTTATCCTACCCTACCAGATATTAAAATATTTTAAAGAGCTATGGGAATCATAGTAATATGGTATGAAGTAGACAGGTTAAGTTAGTTGGTTGTTTTTTTATTTATAATTACTAACAGATAAATTCATTAACTGCACATGTTACATTAATTAGCGGGGAATAGACATGTTATGTTGGAAGGCAATAAAACTACCCTTACATATGAAAATGAAGGATATGATAAAAATGACATTTTAATCTACCATGGAAAAGCAATAAACAACTAACTAAGTGGTGTTGGGATAATTGACCATTTACAGACTTGGAAGATGTAAGTTCCAGATGGGGTAAGGACAAATCTAATATTAAAAACATGTTTAGAAACTTGGACTAAGCATGACCTTCATAAATAAGACTTGGCCACAATATCTTGGAGCACATTACTTAACTTTCTGATATTGTGTGGGGATTTTTGTTTTTAGTGAAGAGAAGACCAATGGAATGGAGATAAACATTCAATAGAAAGCGGAGACAATAATAGTAGAATTATGAAATGTACACTGATCTGGCAGAGTGCAAATCTCCTTGGCTGCAATCAGCTTTGTGGTTTAGTAGTTGTGTCCGATTCTTCATAGTCCAGTCCCCTGGGGAATCTGAACTTTTTATTTTCCTGCTGGTAGTAACCACAGACTTGAGTCTACTATGAAGATATTTGTCCCTTGCTAAGTCCTTGATCTCAGCACCTCTAGAAGTGATAAGAAAATATTCTCCTGAAGCATTTTTGACAAGTTCTTAAGTACTGCTGTGGGTGCTGGTGAACGTGATGGCATTTGCTTATACAGAACAGTTAAGGATCAGTGAACTCTGGACAACCTGTGATGTCTCTCCTTTTGAGATCAGAAGATTATTGCTTTTTTCTAGTAATGGGCCACTTTCAGGATGAGCTACATTGTAGAGCCATCAAAGCCTCTTTCTTTGCCTCTCTCTCTCTCTCTCTCTCTTTCTCTCTGTGGTATGTATGTGTGTATAGGTATATACCTATATGTATATATACCTATATGTACCTGTATATATACCTATGTATACCCATATATAGGGGTATATATATATATATATACATATACTTATGTACATAAATCTGTATGTATAAAGGAATATATATCTACATTCATATATGTATATAACCTTCATATATATATATAAGTTTATAGGTATGTATATGTATACATATATATACACATAGGATATGATTCTAATTATAAAACTATGTAAGATAATGAGGGGAAGGGAAGATGGTCAAAGAAAGACAGAGGACAAATAAGAGGGTTGTTCTGAGCAAACATAATGTATGCACATCTGAAATACCATAGTAAAAAAAAGTCCTTGGAATCATTCAGGCAGAAAAAAAAAAAAAAAACACCTAAATCACAAAAAAGAAAACAGGCTGTAATGGAAGCAGTGGGAAAGGGTGAATGATGAGCATGAGTATGGTCACTCTTACGAAGGTAGAACAATGACATTGGGCACTGGTGGCTCATCCCTCTCTTCCTACTTGCTCAGGAAGCTGAGATCTGGAGAATCTCAGTTCAAAGCAAGCTCAGCAGATAAACCAGTGAGAGGCTTATCTCCAATTAAGCAGCAAAGAGCCAGAATTTGAGGTGTGACTCAATGGTAGAACACTAGCCTTCAGAAAAAAAAAAGGACTAGACAAAAGTGAGAGTCCCTGAATTCAAGTCCTAGCACCAGCACACAAACAAGAGAGAAAGGAAGATGGAGCAATGAATCCCACTGAAATTGTTTTTAGAGATGGGTAATGGAATAAGGGAAAGCCAGAGTGGGGGAGGTTGATCGTGGTGTTATGTACATGTGTAGACAATGTCCTAATGACCCTCTCTACAGCTAATAAGGAAAAGAAAGGCCTTAGCCATGGAAGTAAGAAGTATTTGGTGGGGGGGAAAAAGTATTTGGTGGTATTTTTCTCCCCTTTTGATCAGGAAAGTCTCCAGACTGTCACATAAGTGGCTATCTTTTCTATTCCCAGAGAACCAATTTCCTGACAAGGGAATTAAATATCCTGATAGAAATTCTCAGTTGCAAGTGACAGAATCATATTCAAAGCAACCCAGGAAAAAATCGGAGGGAATTGGCTTGAATGGCTGGCTTATAGCCCCAGGCATAGCTACTTGGCCTGCATTGGTAAGCTCTGGACTTGCCAAACTCTGAGGAATAAACTCCTCCCCTGTCCCCCCCTCCCAAAAAGAGGGAAGATCTCCTTGCCAGAACAAGAGAGGACAGTGCTGAGCTGGCAGAAGGACCAGATGTCCCCCTCAGTAGCTGAAGATCTTGGGGTTTCATTCAGCACATAGTACTTAGGGTCCCTATACAGGCTTGTTCCTGAGGTTATCTTTTAGAGGGAGGCATTGCGACATCGCAGAATGCTTATGTGTGTGGACGTGAAGCAGACAGCCTGGGTCTGTCCAATTCAGTTCCTTTAACCTGTGTCTGTCACGAGGCAAAAGACTAGTTGTCAGTTTGTTTCCTGTTTTGTCTCCATGGGCTTCCAATTGTGAGCTCCACTACACAACCATTTGTTTTGTTTGTTGATGCTTCATTCCAACGGGATAATGTACTGTTCTAACAAACTCTGTGAAAGTGAGTGATTGACCATAAGTTCTGAGAGGATTTGAGTAAACAGGTCTTAGAATAGCTTGGGGGAGCAGGGTTGACAGAAATGTCCTAAGGCTTGACTGTTCCTGATATTAGGGCTACGTACAATCCTTCTTCATCTACAGCCTGTTCAAATTGCCCTTGTCCTCAGAGCAGGGGTTGGTATGGAATAGAGGAGGCCTCAGACTCTAGGTCTCTGCTTTCTGGACTCTATCTAGGGTTGTGGGCCACACCTCAGGCTCCTCAGCTTCTCCACCTGAGTGAGGTGCAGTCTTCTTTAAGATTAGGTTTATCTGTCCTCAATCCAGCCTCCACACTCAGTCTCTTCTCCAGCCAGTGATTTCCAGGGCTTTGTCTCAGGCCCTGTGCTGGAGAGCAGCTCTCAGTAACCATAGGCAACCATGAGCCTGGGCTAGCTATCTGTGCTGTATTTATAAAGTGCATTCTAGTCACTACCCCAGTGGCCAGGGGAAAAATGTGCTTAAAAGGTTTTCTTGAGCAATAAAATACTGTCTTCTTTTCTTTTTTCCTGTTTTCCCCCTTTCTTTCTCATTTTCTACAGAATGATCAATCCATGGGTGAGATGCAGATAATTGGAGGCGAGGATCTTTCAACCCTGGCTGGAAAGGTTTGTTAATATGTCACTCTGCTCTGTAAGCATTGATGTCTGGGGACTTCAGTGACCTTCATTTCAGGTCAGCACTGAAAATGTATTTCAGACGCTCTCTGGGTTTGTTAATTCATGCAAATGGATGTGTGGATCCTTTTCATGATTTCTGCTCTTCAAAAAAAAGCAAAAATAACCCTTCCTTTTACGAAATCTCTCGGACCAGATACAGACCAGAATCTTCCTTCGGCAGGCTTCTACAGCAATCTTATTTCAGACAATGCCTCTGGCCTTGCTTGCTGTACCCTCTTCCCTCAGATTTTCTCAAGCCCCTTTGAAAAAAAAGTCTACATTCTTCTTTATTTGTCTGCTTTTTCTCTCCCTCATCTGCAGCTTGGGGCTGGAGTAAGATATTTAAACAGGCTTGTTAAATGTACAAAATTAAGGAAAAAGAACTGTGGATGAAAAGCATGTTTTTTATTTTGTTTTTATTAGCATTGTCTCCTCCATTTTCGTATTAAAAACAGTGTAACTGATCATTAGATTATGGGGAAACACACCTCCAATTTTAATTTGGAGTTCCAAACCTGCCTGTACCTAATTACAAAGCAAAAAGACTATTTAGATTCTGACAGAAATCCAAAATTGGCAAGAAAGGCTGTTGTAGACAGCAGATGATCTTTGTGGAATGTGATTGAAATGCAAATTTGCTATGAATAAAAGCAACTAGCCAGGCAGAATCTGTTTCTGTTCACCTGTACTGACCTAACTGGTATTCAGTATTCCCAAACAACTTCAGCTCTCTAAGTAAAAGGGATCACTCTATCACACAAGCCTAATCTCCCATACTTGTGGTTGTTATTGTTATGAAATCCCTGGGTAAGGAAAGAAGAACAGCAGCCACGTTTGATAATACCGTATATCCATACTAGAAATACCACAGAGCCACAAGGGCTGGTGATCAAACAGCTGACTTCCCTCCCTTCCTCCAAGGGTAGCACAGTAGGTCCAAGTGGTAAATCACCATCTAGGAGTAAATATTTTCCATAGTAATTGGAATTAACTTGTTAGGTAACACATCTCTAGGCTGTTGTTCAATGATTCTGCCTTAGCTCATAAAAGATCCTAGAAAGCCAGAATACTCAAAGCAAGTAGGACTCCAGAAAAAGCCGTAACTATTAACAACCCTGGATTGCTCTTTAAATGATGTTAAGTCATTTTAGCACTTTGTTGTATGATATTACCTTACAAGCTTATTACATGAGGAATGTATGGCTGCCTTGTGCTTTGACTATAACTTCTGCCAAAGTGACAAAACTTAAGAATCTCAAGTGAATGCCAAAAAAAAAATTGCACATAGAATTTGGGGTTCTATGTACAAATAAAATCTTTCATAACAAAAACACCTTCCATTTGGTTTGGAAGTAATCTTCTTTGGAGAAAGCGATGATGTTCCTTTGCTTTCACAACCAGAGGAGCTGTAGAGAAAGGGAGAGTGTCTTAAGAGGCATGATATGAACAGGAGTGACTGTTCCTGCTATACCCTCTTTAAGTAACTGCCAGGGCTCTTCTGAGGAAGTAGAAGCCATAGAAATGGAGAGTAGAAGGGTGGGTGAATGCAGTCATCATAGTCAATATTTTTGCATATGTGAAAATGGAGCCAGGTAAATTGATGGGATGCATTAGGTTAGGAGAGACAGAAAGAGAATGTTTAGGAGTGATGTTGATTAGATGCATTGTACTCACAAACTGACATGCATAGATGTGCAACTACTTCAGGAAAATAATGGTAAGTTTAATTAAAAGAAAAAAAAAGTCTTAGAAATACAAGAAGGCATGGTAGAAGCCCAGCCAGGAGGAGCACACAACAAGCAGAGCCTGCTCCAACTTCTTACTGACATGACAGATGATTTCTTCCAGGCCACCAGGTGCTACTTAGCAGTATCTTTATACTGTGTGTGTGCACAGATCCATTTCTATATACATTTAATCATGAGCCAAGTAGAGCCCCTTGGGCTTAGAACATCCTGGGTAAATATTTCTGAGATAAATCAACATTAATTAGCCAGGTTCTCAACTACCGAAACCAACTTGAGCTTAAAGACTATACGATTCAGGGACCTAATTCCCATTAGAAGGAAAAGATAGATAGACTTTGTCTATCCCACACATGGCTTTCAAATAGATCTAAAAAACAAAAACAAAACACTGTCCAGTGCTCTCATTTCCCTCCCTATCACCCAAGCCCTAACCCTTGCTATGCAAAATGTGGTCTAAGTTACCAATCAGCAAACCTATTCCTTAACGGGTCATGTGAGGTCAATAGTCTTAGTTGCAATTCAACCCTGCCATTACGGCAGGACAGCCAGCACAGATGATATAGAAATAAATGGCTATGGCTTGTTTCGATAAAACTTTATTTACAAAACAACAGCAGGGCTAGACTTGGCCTACAGTCATATCACTGGCCAACTGAAAACTTTTCAGAGGCCTCCTCATTAGAGTTACCAGACTCAGCAAAAGCAAAACAAAAGACAAGATTTCTAGTTTCAGTTTAGCTCTAAGCTATGAATCCATTTTCAGTATAAATATGTCATGCATGCTTACTGTGAGAATCCAATATGATATTTAGGAAATCCTTATCTTCTTTATGTCTTTTTGCCTGAAACTCAAAGTTAACTGGGTTTTCTGAATATTGACCAGGTAACCCTACGCTCAGTGCTCTAGGAATATGATTTGAATTCCTTACTCAGACTTTCTGGTCTGGCCCTGCATGTCCCCCCACTCTGTCTGACATTTCTGAGTCCCCTCACAGCACTGTACTCATACTACCTCAGTCCTTCCTGCCAATCTATGGCTCTTCCTCAGAATCCATTTTCCTCCCATTCTTCAGGCTTCAACCTAATTGTATCTTACACACAGGAGGACTTTCTTTCCTTGCTACGCCAAATGAGCTCTGTTCTTTGCTCCGACCCAGCCCTCACCTTCAATTGCTCCTATATATGTACCTTGTTTTCCTAATAGTCCCCTCTGCGATGTGTCATCTTTAGTTTGGGACATTTTTAATTTGCCTATCTTCCTACCCAAAAGTCAATATAAAGTGGGCAGACACCATGCCTGACTTTTTCACCATCTTGCCCATCTATGACAGGCTAGAATAAGTGAATAGATAGAACCTAGTGTTTTACCTAGAAACCAGAAAGTTGGTTTTGATTGATGTTGACCAAGAGAGGACATGGAAGAGAGGCGTGGCAAATTTAAGCCACACCAGTGGCAGTGGTGGGATCCAATTGGGTTTTTGTTTGTTTGTTTTGCATTATAGGGGATTAAACCTAGGGCCATATACTTGTTAGACAGAAGCTCTGCTACTTAAGCCACATACCTAGACCTTCTGTTTGTATTTTTTGTTTGCTTGTTTTTGAGGCCAAAGTTGCCTAAGCTGGTCTTAAACAAAGTGTTCTGGCAGAACTGACATCATGAAGTCCTATTTCAGGACAGTGAACTAGACAAGACAGTAGAAAGAACCTCAAGAAGGAAGAGGAAGCAGCTAGAAGGTGGGGTTGGGAGAGCTAACATGAGCACTTGTTCCACCTGAACAAAGTCCAGATGAAAGAAGAAAATCTCTGTCAAAAAATGAAGGGGACATGGGCATGCTGACATATACCTATAAACCCAGATAGATACACAGGAAGCAGAGATGGAGTCAAAGACAAGACAATTATCAAAATCCTATCTCAAAATAAAAGCTGAGTGAGGTGATTCATACCTATAATCTCAGCTACTTAGGAGTTAGAATAGGAAGCTCATGGTCCAAGGACAGCTCTGGGCAAAAAGTGAAGACCCTATCTGAGCAGGCCTGGCAACTGAACATCCTTAAACTCCACAGCACCACCACAAACAAAGAAAAAAGAAGGACTTGGGAGAATGATATTTCAATTATATTTGTTGATGAAAGAATTTTATAAGACACAAGGAAGTACCTCACCTGGGCAGTTTTGCTGTACTGAGTCAGAGGTAGAACAAATTAAAATAATAAGGAGACTGAGCAGTCGCCCCCTCCCCCCATCCCCTCAGAACCTTTCTTTTGCTTGCTTTTTTCTTTTTTTTTTTTTTCTTTTGCTTTCAAGGGAGGCTGGCTGAGTCATGGTTCTAAATAGGTCATTGCCGCTGAGTAAAGTAGCTCTCCTGATTCAGTAAAATGGCCTTTTCGGCTCACCACCTTAAAGAACATTTCCCTTGGTGTGTGTCAGCTGTCTGCACTACACGCTCTCGGGCTGATTCTTTTAAAGTTGATTTAATCCCAGCACTTCATAAAAGGTGGGTATCCATTAAAACAAGAAGATGTTATTCACGTTCAAGAGAACTCTCTGAAAGAGTAGAATAACACCAAAGGCATAGAAGCAGGCCCTGATCTGGCAAGCTGGAAACATGGGAGCGGGGGTTCTCGCAGGATTACAGGGAGCATGCTCTCCCCCCACCCCCACTCCCACCCCCCACCAGAGTTTCTCATTAAATGCCAGAACGAAGCATCAGGCCTTGCCAAGATCTCCCCCTTGGCTGCCTGCGCTGTTCAATCATTCTTTTTTATTGCAGCTCACAAGTCTGAGAACAATAATGGCAATGGCCACTGGCTGATGATTCTGGCAGTTCTGTGAATTTTCACATCAATTGAAGTGCTGGGCTACATTCCTTTCTCCATGGGGTTTATAGTCACACTTGTGCGCATGCTCAGTGATCCCCCTTTCCCCCCCCCCCACGGCCCAGATCTTCAGGGCTGTCCCTCTGAATTAGTAACCACAAAATGACCTTGCTGAGTATTTCGCATTTGAGTTGCTCTTTTCTTTTGTTGTTGTTATTGAGAGGCTTGTTCTGTCACTCAGGCTGGCTTCGAACTCTCAATTTTCCTGCCTCAGCTTCCCAAGTACTGGCATGCACCACCATACACAGCCATTATGTATTTTAAAAGTAGAAATTAAATGTGACTTAAAAGTAGAAATAACCAACTGTCTCATTTCTTTTTGTCTAATGCTTTCCTTCTCTTCCTCCTTCCTTCTTTCTTGCCTTTGTTTAGATTAGGAAACTCAGTGAGATTGGCTTTGACCAAAACCAAAGAACATTCTGGAGAATCCCCATGCATCTCTCTGCCTGCAGCCCCCAGGCAGCAGATTTTACTGGCTTTCTGGGAGGAAATGATCTAGGTGTGACGAGATGACTAAGACAGTACCTGGCAAACATCACAGATTGGGTGATCACAGTTATCAGATTGGAAGTGTTTGGGAGGCACAGTGTGTTCTGAAAAAATTTCCACCGTTGCCCACTGCAAAAAAAGAAAGAAAGAAAGGAGAGGGGGGTACGAAGATTGCTTCGTACAGTGATAAACATTAATTATAGTTTGGTTACAGAGAAATTACAGATTGTGAAGGGAAAAAATGGAGATGATGTATCAGCATAGAGTGCGCTAGAGCAGGTGAAAGAAACTAGATCATAATCGCTCATTCATTTCACAGGCATTTCATGAGCACCCACTAGTGTCAGCCAGTTTCTGCATCACATACTGATTCCATACAACGATTTACTGTTAGTCCCTTAGCTCTTAGGACTAATCGTGGTACATTCAAACATAAAGAAAGCCAGGCATAGCTCTAATCCCCTACTTCAGAGGCAGAGACAGGAAGATCACAAGTTTGAGACCAGCCTAGGTAGTTAGGGAGACTCTATATCGCAGCAGTAAAAATATAAACAAAAGAGCTGAGGAAAGGAGGAGGGTGAGCAGGGTTCTGGAAAGCAGAGTGCTCATTTATATGGCCTTTGGTTCTATCCCCAGTCCCAGAATACAAAACAAAACCAAAAATTAAGTATAAAGCTATTCATCTCTTTAGACGTGAATGAAAATGTTTCCAAACTAGGATTGATGCATCCTCTCTAATCTTGGGCCTTCATGCTTCACCATTACAGGGTAGAAAGTGGAAGGAAAAGAGGAGAAAGGGAAAAAACAAGTGTGGGGGGGGGAGGGGTAACCTTGCTTTTATACCAACCCACTCCTGCAGTGATGACAGTAATCCATTGTTGAGGGTAGAACTCTCAGAACCGCATTACCTTTGTTAGGCCCCTCCTTCTAAGCACCACTGCATTGGGATTAAGTTCTCTACATATGAACTCTGGGGGAAGCAATCAAACAATCACATATTCCAACGTATGGTTCTAGCTTTAACAAACAAACTACAAAAGTCACATTAAGGACAACTGGAGGTACATTTTTTCTTTTTATATCAGTACTGGGGATTGAACTCAAGCCTCACATTTGATAGGCAGGTACTCTACCACTTAAGCCATTCCTCCATCTATGTTCTGCCTTGATATTTTTGAGGTAGGTCTCCCTTTATGCTGGAGTCAGCCTGGACTGCAATTCTCCTATTTATGCTTCCCTGTGTTGCTGGGTATGGCAGTCATGTACCACTGCATCCTGCCATTGCTTGAGATGGAGCTTTGTGAACTTTTATGTCCCTGTTGGCCTCAAACCATGAATCCTGATCTCTGCCTCACAAGTAGCAGTGACTATAGGCCTGAGCTACCATACCCAGCCACTGGGGAAATCTGAACATATACTAAGCTTCGTGTAATATCAAGATAGTATCATTGTTGCTAAATGTGGTATTTTGGCTCTGTATGATATATAATATCATGATAACTTAACTCTTTTAAAATGCATAAACATTTAAAAATTATTTAAACAGTAAAATACAGACCATAAGTTTAGAAACTCTTAGGACTGGGAATATAGCTCAGTGGTAAAGTACTTGCTTAAATATATGCTTGCATGCCAGGATCACTTCCAGCAACCAACAATAAACAAATAAGTATTCAAAATATTGAAATGCTCTGTTTTCAAACTTACTGTAATTTTTGTATCTTGTATTATGAGGCACAAACTGTCTTTAATGATAAGTATATATTTATATGTGTTGGAATAGATACAGTTGCTATACTAAAAATGAATATACATTTAGACTTGCAAACTCAACTTGCCAGATGCTAGTGGTTCACACCTGTAATTTTAGATACTCAGGAAGCTAAGATCTGAGGATTGAGGTCTGAAGTCACCCTGGGCAGAAAAATTTGACTTAGTTCCAGTTAACTAGAAAAAAGCCAAAACTACAAGTGTAGTTTCAAATGGTAGAGCACCAGCCTTGAGCAGGAAGGCTAAGTGGGAGTATGAGGTCCTGAGTTCAAGCTCCAGTAGCAGCACACAGGTACATGTGTGTATGTGTGCGGGCGTGTGTGCGTGCAGACACACATACTCAACAAGGTAAAACTTTTTAAATGACTTAAATATATTTATGTGTGAAGCCCTGAGTTTGAAGGGCCTCCAGTACCTCATAGATTAGATAGATAGGTAGGTAGATACATACATACATACATACATACTGAGATAGAAAGATATATAGATCAATATTGAGATAGATAGATACTGAAATAGATAGTTACTGAGATAGTAAGATGAAATAAGTATACAGAGCAGTAGACAAGGGCTGGGAAGGTGGCTCAAGTGGTAGAGCGCTAGCCTTGAGCTAAAGAGCTAAGGGACAGAACCTAGGCCCCAGAGTTCAGGCCCCACAACCGGACCCCCCCCCCCAAAAAAAGCAGTAGACAAAACCCAGACCTTGAGTTCCAACATTGGCATGAAAGCAAGCAAGAAATAAAGCAAGAAAGGAAGCAAGCAAGCAAGAAAAGCAAGCAAGCAAAAAAGAAAGAAAGAAAGAGAAAAGAAATATACTGGGTACGATTTGTTGAACTGAGGGCTTCGCATTCATTCAGTTGGTAGTAGAGTGCCTCCAATCCAGTAGTTTGATGGCTATTTTGGATACATCATCTGGACTTTTCTGTAGGGGCTAGCTTTGAACCTTGATCTTCTGGATAATAGCCTCCTGAGTAGCTAGTATTATAAGCATGAGCCATCAGCATCTGACTTGATCTAATATTTTTTTTTAGTATTATGTAAATTCAAGAGATATACAAAAGGTCATTTAAAGAAACAAAACTCCATTACTTGAAAGGAATACTCTCACCATTTAGCTCATTGGAATGACACACCAACACATATTTTATTTTGGTGGGACAGGTGGAGCTTTGGCTCAAGTGCTAGAGTACTGGTCTTGAGTGAAAAAGCTAAGGGATGCATCCAGGCCCTGAGTTTGAGACGTAGTACCAACACACACACAAACACACACACAACACACACACACACACAATAACAATAATAATATATAAATAAATAAAGCCTACTCAGTGTGTAGGAGGCATATTTAAGAGACCTAAACACATCATCAAAAATAGGGAATTTGCCCCCCCTCTTTCTTACTCCTTTCTTTCCTTTGGGTTGAAAAATCCAAGGGTAAATGCCAAATCCCTAAGGATTTGGTTTGCCACATGAGCCTGGATTGTTACAATGAGTATATATGATCCATCTACAGAATACTATCTCTATTAGTGCAGGATACATTGACTTCTTGTCCTGGTGAACTCCGCTCAACTCTGAGCTGAGTGACAGAGCGTGTGCTCCCTGAATTATCAAGGTGGAAGGACTTTATGGATAGTTTTAAGCTGCGTCTAACCTGAATATGGATACTAAAATTACGCCACCCAGGAATTCTGAAAGGACTGGGAAAATGAATCTCAAATAGCTGGATTTATTTTCAGTCATTTGGAATTAATGGGCAGAGAAGAACCAGCTGGCAAATAGTGTAATTCTAACTATAAAGTAAACATGTATTTATATTGTGAGCCAGATTTTCATTATATTCTAAAACAGTGGTTTTATTTATTTCAGAATGTCCTCATTGTTGAGGTAAGCTGCCTTTTTCTTCTCCATATTTGGAAGTTGAAAGAATTTACTGGTGAGTTTTAACAGCAGAATTTGCTATCAGATTAGCCAAGGACTGTCTGAGCCCTCAGTGTCCTAATTAATCCATTTGGATTAATTAGAATCAAGTAGATTCACTATCCATAAGCAATTTAGAATCAAAGCTCTGCAATATCAGTTTATCCCATTTTATATCCAGCTTCACATATGTGTGAATTGGTTCTTATTCCAATTTGTGAATCTGAAAAGTAACCTAGCTCCTCAAACCAGGAACTAAATCTACTGTTAAACTTACCCGTAAAATCAAAATGTAGAAATCTCTTTACTCTTTATTTCATCTTTTTTTCTGACCTCTAATGCTTTTAGTATTGAAATTATAAATACAGTTTAAAATGGCAATCTAGGGGAAAGCTATGATTTAATTTTTTTTTGTTTTTGTCTTTTGAGGCTTTTGTTTGGTTTTTTGTTACAAAGAAAGAGAGAAAGGAAGAGAAAAACAGAAGACAGCAGTGGACTGATAGGGCAAATGGCCTCATCCAGGATCATGTCTGTCTTAGCAGCAAAAATTCAGGAGGGCAGGGGGGAGGTAGTCTCTTTTCATGCTTTTGTCTCACAATCGCTGTTTAGGTCTGCACCCATGAAGTAGACCCTCCAGCCAAATGAATTGCCCAACCCTGACTAAATTCAGACCTGTTGTGTTGAGCATCAGCCACTGACAGCTGATTTCTGTCTCAAGGACAATAAATTGCAGAGACCCATTCTGCCTTAATTGTGAAGGAACAGCTCATCAGCCGAGATGAGCTGGGCCCAGGGCAGCCTCCGACCCTCAGAACTCATGGCTGTCACCAGCTGCTGCCCAGAGACGTCTCACTTCCCAGCCACTGAATCCCCTATTGAGTGGGGGAGGCCGAGGGGGAGGGGTTTATCCTTTCAGGGTATTCAGATGCACAACCCATGCCCATGAAAATTCATGCGCCTCCTATTGTGTTGTGTAACCTTGCGGCCAAATTTAGTCCCCAAATATGCATGCACGAGTCCAGTATACTCAGCCTGGAGGAGCCCCATGGGCTCTCTCCAAAGACTGAATTTAGCTCTTCCCCTGCACAACTCCTTGATGTGAGAGACATCACACCGCTTTATCCCCCAAAACTCAGTTTCTAGAAAAAGCACCTAGGCACACAGAACCCGGGGTATTCCCTTCCTTTGTCTCCACCTGGTTTGATGTTTGTAGTTATCTTGCACCATTTATGAAGATTATCTCTCTGGCTGAAAAGTTTTTAAAAAGCGATTAGGCTGCACAAATACATTTTGGCAATAAACTTGTCTGTCCTTCTGCAAAGGATGTTGTAGGGACTGGAAGGACCATGACAGCACTGCTTGGCAACATAAGGAACTACAAACCGAACATGATTAAGGTAGCCAGGTGAGTATGGTCATTGCCATTTTTCCAACCACACCCAAGCAGGATCCAAACACTGGATGCTCTTTCCAAAGAGCCGAGTCTGTTGCACACTCTTCCCTCAGCCTTACCTGGGGTGTTATGCTTTGAACACAATGAAAAATAGCCTGAAAGAGGAAGGGGAAAGGATGCACTTGCTGTGTATTCTACCCCTCTTGACCTTGACTGTGCCCCCATGAGCTGTTTGCAGGACCAGCCGGTGAGCCCTGTGCAATTGCTCAGCTCCTTTCATCTTTATCTGTAACTATTGAGGTAACACCCCCCCCATAGCACCAAAGGCCAGAATTACAAGAGGATGGGGTGATGCTGCCCAGACTAAAGGGGGAAAAAATCCATCCGTTTTGTTCAGTCGGTTTGCAATTCACACAGACTTTATTGGGATAACAAGCGCATATTTTTTTCCTTTCGAATGGCAGTTTGTTGGTGAAGAGAACATCCCGATGTGATGGCTTCAGACCTGACTGTAAGTACTTTTTTGGGGGGTTTGGGTGTGTGTGTGTGTGTGTGTGTGTGTGTGTGTGTGTGTGTGTGTGTGCTGGTGTTCAATTTTATGATGAAGAATTATTAGTTGCCCATTTGACGGCAACATGTGTAACATAGATGCTGTGTAGGGCTGACAATCCCACAAATTCCCCCTCCCTGCTGCCTTGCCAAAGGACCTTCGAATCCTTTAAAATTCATTGTCGTGCATTTTCTAATTTGCATTGTCCGCAGGAACTTTGTCCTGTGCTTGGGATTTTTTTTTAATTGTTAGATTGTAGACAACACTGTAATTTCAATAACTTACATGATTAAGATTTCCTGGTAGAGAAAGACTTAACTTGGAGAGACTCAAACACATAGCATTCCTGCCTGGTGACCATTCCCACCAGTGGCAGGAGCATCTCCACACAGTTTTAGGAAGGATTGCCAAACAATGCACAATGGTGACCTTTAGCAAAGCCCTCAGAAAGGGGTGGGGAATATGAGATGTCTCCCCATCACCTCCAAACAAAAGTTCAGACACACAGAGAATGAGCCAAGCAGGGATCTGTAGATAGCATCTTCACACTTGACTTCAGACACGTGCGCTGAGAGCTATCTTCATCTAGGGCATTTTCCTCTCTTGAGCAGGACAAAGTCTAGTGCCAGAAAGGATAAGCAAACCACTGGATTATTTATTATTCTAACACTAGAGGCGATTTTTTTCACCTGCATAAAGCAGACTTCAGCTCATTTTTATAACTTATATTTGCTCCAAAGCCCCCGAGAAAATTTGGCCATAATTCCCATCAGCAAGCTGAACAAACATTAGAGACAGAGGCATGCACTGTATGGATGGGTCCTGTGCCAGTGGTGACTCATCATTCTCAGCACAAGTCTCAGCCCTGTGCGGGGTGCACTGACTCTGGTCCCTTTTACTCCAGGCAGTAGACCCAATAATGTGTTCCTGTTGATTTCTGGATGTCAGTAAGGTCACATGAGGTTACTACACAGAAATTTTGAAAGGAAATCATACAAGATAGTCACTGTACAGGTAAGATTTTTAAACTGAGTTTGAGGAACACGCACTTCAAACATACCCAGTTAATTGTAAATTTCTTGTGTCACTGATAGCGTAAACATCAATAAAATAGCAGCAGTTGCTGGGGCTGGGAGTGTGGCTCAGTGTGAAGCCTTTGCTTAGCATGTGCAAGGACCTGAGTTCAAGTCCCAGCAGTACAAAAATAGTCATAAATCAGCTAATACTTATCAAGGGTCATACATGCTAGACAGTGTTCAAGAAAGACAATAACTAATTGCAGGTACCCACTTAACAGATCGTGTAAGGCCATGCTGATTATGGTAACTGCCAACCTAAGTCTAGAGGCTGTACTCAGGTACCAGCCAGCAGTGGGTGGCTGGGTCCTGACTGTCCAACTGAGCCATCATCCCTCATTTATCCCATGACATCACAAGGCTTGGCTGTCTAAGCTGGCTTTGGGCTTTAATTTTCCCAGTCTGAGTTACCACACCTATTGTAGAGGGATTGCATTGTTCCCTATAAAGTCAGTATTACAGTTACCATCAGGATTTCCTGAGATTTGCTCAACCTCTTGGAGCCAGCTCAGAATCTCTGTTTCTTTCTCACTGAATTTCTGAGGCTTTGCACTTTCTGTTCCTTTCTCCGCATGGACTCTGTAGTACATGTTCATGCTCAGTGTAACTTTCCATGTCTTTCTTTTTAGTCTGGATTCTCTTGGAGTGTTTGGGCTTTTTGGAATCAAGGCCTCACTACGTAGCCCAGGTGGGCCTGAAACTTGCAATCCTCTTGCCTCAGCCTTCTGAGTGCTAGATGAGAGGATGACAGGCATTTGCCACCATGTCCACCTCCTCTGATTATTTTTCTAAACACACACACACACATGCAACCAAAAACCTCAGCAGTTTGGAAGAATATACCAGCTTTCATGATTAGTGACCCCATAATTGAGTTTCCTAGAAAATAGAGTCCTTACATCTGATATGTTTTATAAGTAGAAGCCAATTCATTTTTCTGTAAGAGAATCTTCGGTCACAAGAAATAATGGGATGGAATGACCAGGCAGATGATTGCTCATGCTTCACGCCTCTTCGGAAGTTCAGTTTCATCAAAGTAAAACAAGTTCAACTGTTTTGTATTATACCGTAGCAAACAATCTCCCAAGATACTGAAAACAAGACTCCCAGGATACTGAAAAAAGTAAAAGTCATTGAACCAAGACACATTTATTCTATCTTCAAAGACCTTCAAAAGAGGAGAATAAATAACTGTTCTTTCAGGATTCTCTCCAATAAAATTCATATTCCATTCAATAAAATCCTTTTGTGTGTGTGTGTGTGTGTGTGTGTGTGTGTGTGTGTGTGTGCGCGCGTGCTGGAGCTTGAACTCAGGGCCTGGACACTCTCCCTTAGCTTTTTTGAGCCAAAGCTCCATTTCTGGATTTTGGGTGGAGATAAAAATCTCATGGACTTCCCTGCTGGGGCTGGCTTTGAACCACAATCCTCAGATCTCAGCTTCCTGAGTTTTTTTTTTGGGTCTGGTCATGGGGCCTGAACTCTGGGCCTGCGCGCTGTCCCTCAGCTCTTCAGCTCAAGGCTAGCGCTCTACCACTTGAGCCACAGCGCCACTTCCGGCTTTTTTCTTTTTGCTTATGTGGTGCTAAGGAATCAAACCCAGGGCCTCTGGCATGCAAGGCATGCGCTCTACCACTGAGCCACCTTCCCAGCCCAGCTTCCTGAGTTTTTACAAGTGTCAGCCACCAGAAGGCAATACAAAGTCTTCTTTTGATGAACCCAAGTTCTTTATGCTGCATTTAAATCCATTTCCTCTCCTTCTGTCCTCATTAGAGATAAAGAACTAATTAGTATCTTCTGTCTTGTAGACTCAGTGATCAGCACTAAAATAACCCTTAGTACTCTTTTCAGCAAGCAGAACAACCCCAGTTCTCCTTGTCTTGTCTCCCAACGTTTGCTTCCTAACACTTCAACCAGGGAGGATAGTGACCATGAGGGAGACTTGTTTCCCAATGACTATGGCTTGCACGCCTAGTCATATACTGCGGTACCTTAGTGCCTTCTGCTTGAATAGTCCTTTGTGCTTTCCAGAGCATTTTCTTTGGCATTATGTCATTACAGGCCGCTTGCTTTGAAACAATGGGCCACATGACTAACTCATACTTCCTTCTTGTTGCCTCCTGAGCCCTTCCTCCTCTCTGTACCCTGACAGTCCAGTCATTCTTCATGCGTGTTTGCTTGAGTGCCTTGTCTCCCGGGGAATCATTCTCATCCAGGTCCTTGGTAGACTTGTCCTTGCTTTACCATTTTCTCATTTGTATCTACCCTAAACCCACGGTCCTCAGTTTAAATGCCCACAATACGGTGATGGTGTATGTTTGTGCTCTTAATTTGTTCCCTCTCTCTCTCTCTCTCTCTCTGTCTCTCTTTTTGCTAAGATGTTGGATTTGAGATTCCAAACGTGTTTGTGGTGGGATATGCCTTAGATTACAATGAATACTTCAGAGACCTGAATGTAAGTTTTGCATGCAAAACCCTATCTGATTCTCTTTTCAATAAGAATTTAAGAGTGACCTCAATCTAACAAGTGACTGAAATCATAACAGTGTTGACTGCTATTTACTGGATATCTTCTGCGTGAGGAATATATTGAACACTTTGCATCCACACTGCCCAATTTGCCCTGCCACCCTGCATGGCAGGTGTTAGAGGACAGAGTAGTGATGATTCTATTTGGTTAAAAAAGAAGAAGAAGAAGAAGAAGAAAGAAAAGAAAAAGGAGAAAGAATTAGGAAGCAAAAAGCACAACCACAGCTCCACACTGATTTTGTTCTATAGTCATTCACTGCACCCAGCCACTGATAAATAACCACTGATATATAACCTGTCTCATGTCTGTGCTTGAAATTGAACAGGTTCTGATGACAGTGGTGTACAGTTCATGAATGATTCTCCCTTTGAGAAAATGGTCTTGATACACAGATGGTCTCATAGTCTAGTGTGGGCTCCCAGCTGTGTTACCCGCATCACTGGATGGTCTAGAGGTAGGCCTCATCCAAAGTGGTCCAGTGTCTTATTCTTCGAAATTAGAAATCCATATAAAAAGTTGCAGAGTGAAAGGGCTGTTGGATATGAGATCCTGTAGTAACTGTACCCCAGAGCATGGACAAACATCATGGTGAAGTCTCTGGGCCCCTCCCATCCCCTCCACTCCAGGCTTCCAATTGCTTCATTGCTCAGCAATGCCTCGGATTCCATGAGCTACCCACATATCCTACTAATCAGTCCCCTCTTCTCATCTCTATTAGCCTACCCCATTTCTTTGGTTTGCTCATAAAAATATTTGCAATACATTTCTTGTTACCCAAATAAGGTTGAATAAAAGTCCATACTGTGCTTGTCGCTGGTAATTCTCCATTTACCCAGGCAGTTGTCATTAGTAGATGTCTAGCTCTGCCAGGAGTAAATATACTGAGCCCTCAGCATTTCTACTTATGGGAGACGTGAGTAACTGGATATAGAATAGGGCTCAAGACTAAACACCACATCCTCTTTTCCACCATTTGTCTGGGTCTCTAGATTTTACACACACACACACACACACACACACACACACACACGTGTCAAGTGACAAGAACCAGTTTCACGATGTCCTTCTGTTATTATCGCATCCCATTTTCTGTGCTTCTCATTTTGTTAAGGAATTGGTGCATTTCGATCCTTTATTGTTGCAGCACATCTGCGTGATCAATGAACATGGTAAAGAAAAATACCGAGTGTAAGAAGCAAATTCCAACCAACGAAATCCCAGACACCTTCAATCTACCTTCCCCTTCTTCTCTGGAAGCCAGCATGTAATGTCTGTCTCCCCAGGCATCTGCACCCAGCAGACTCCAAAAGTAAAGAGAAAAAGAAGTGCTTTAAGAGAGTTTTCTGAGATTATAATATACAGAGTACCAAAGGTTCTTAAGGAAAAGAAAGCAGTACTTACATTTGAGGTGAACCAAATTAAACATCCCACCTTGTGACTCAAAAGACCTGCCCACCTCCTCACTCCTAAGCTACACCTTCCTTTAATTCCATACACTCATTATATCTGATGACTGGTGCTAAGAACACCACCGCCTACTTATTCAAATATTTTTCCGTGTGTGTGTGTGTGTGTGTGTGTGTGTGTGTGTGTGTGTGTGTGTGTGCTGGTCCTAGGGCTTGAACTTGGGGCCTAGGCACTGTCCCTGATTTTTTTTTTTTTTTGTTCAAGGCTAATGCTCTACCACTAGAGCCACAGCTTCACTTCTGGCTTTTTAGGTAGTTAATTGTAGGTGAGTCCCGTGGATTTGTCTGCCCGAATGGTTCAAACTGTGATCCTCAGATCTCAGCCTTACAAGTAGCTAGGATTACAGGCGAGAGTCATCTAACTTTTAAAATATCCTATTTTTTAAATATTGTTTTAGAGCATAAAATAAAACCCTGCAAAACCTCTTCATTTGAGAGCTTATACACTAGGAATGAAACTAGATTCTCATGGTTAAAAAAAAAAAAAAAAGGAAAGGGGAAAATAAATATAAATTTCTGTTGGTACATTTCTGACAGGACATTATTATCTGCTTTGACAGAGCTTTCCAGAAACGCAGGGTTCAGTGAATGTTAATGATGTTCTGCAATGAATCTTTGCTTGGTTCTCTCACTCTGAGCTTCCGGCTTATGTTGACAGTAAGTCATGTATGCATGGATGTACTCAACTGTGTTTAATACTCTGAATTTTAATTAGAAAAAACACAATGGCAGTGAGGCCCTGTTCGTAAGTGTCACCCTTTCATTCATGTGGGACCCAAGCACATGGCAGGATTGAGTGAGAGAGTATTCCCAGTGCTCAAAACCAAGCAAAGACAAATGTTAAGACCCTGGTAAGTGCTGTCCTATGCATGAATACCAAATTAGAATTATTTCATCAAGTGTCCTTATAAGACTTAGCACAATGAAAATTGCTATAAGAACAAAGCATGGATGCAGAATTTTTTCTGAATCACACCTTTGTTTCTATTATCACTGTTATATGTGACACTTTCTAATTTATGGGGATTTAATTGAGAAGCAACTTGAGTGTCATTAGAGCTCATTTTTTTCCTCTCTCACTTTCTAAAAGGAACAAATTCAAAATAAATAACTAGGAAGCCTTTGTTTCTGAACCATATGTGGTACATTGTGATTATGTTCTAACTTCCTTTAAATGAATAAAAATTTAAGAAAACCTATTATGCTTCCTAAGTGTCTGTTTTACTTCTGTTTTTATATTTTTTATATAGTTTCAGCCATTGAAGTGTGAATATACCAGTAGCTTAAACATACTGTAGTATATATTTAAGCCATAATTTTATTTTTGTGAACCTGGATTAAAATCCAAAATATAGTGTATATACATTAAGCATACATTAAGCCAGGCTAGACCTCTCTCTCCCTCACAACTCCCCCCCCCACCCTTTCTCCTTCTGCAGGCTTGTTTTGTGAGAACAAGGAATCTTGCAAAAGAAGCTTTTCTTGATATCTTTGTCCCAGCCTAGAAGTAAACAAACCACACCCAGGTATCCCAAGAGAGAAATCACAACAGGAATCCTTTCTAGCTTTGTTCCATGGAAGAATTGGTACCCAAGTTACTGATTAATAATATGTACAACTAGCTGCTTTCTTAAAATATGAAAATTAATTTTCTAAACGAAACTTTCCACTAGGTCACCCTTCTGTCAGATGACCTAGAAAAGTCTTGGCATGCATTTGGTTTAAAATACAAATTATCTATAAAATATATGGTATAAAAATATTCTCTTAAAATCATGAATTTTTGTAAGCATCAATATAAAAAGAATATTGACCCACTTCATGAGACTTTTGTATTTAAGAACTTGTGTATTTAAGTCTAAAAAAACCCCACTAAATATAAAGCTATTTAATAATGCTTTGACAGTGATATCCAAGAATGTCATCTTAGGAAAAATAGAGTATCTTTTTGTCTTTCAAAACTCAACTATTGAATACCATTACATTTATTCACTCAAATCAAAAATGGAAAAGATTATTTCATCACAAATCCACTTATTGAGTGCTCTAAATTTTATTCATTGAGTGAGTATGTGTGTATGTGTGTGTGTGTGTGTGTGTGTGTGTGTGTGTTTCCTTGGGAAACTTGAATTCAGTTATAATCAATGTAATTTATAAGACATTAGAATTCTCTAAATGAATTGGGACCTTGGCAAGAATGTACCACAGACTGAGCTGTGTACCCTCAAATGTGAACTGTAAATGGTCATCTCTCTTACTTGCCTGTTATAATCTCTGGCTGTCTCTGACTGGAACACAGTAATTGGTGTTTCGGGTCTTCTGAGACTATAAAGAGCCTGTCAGAGCACAGACAGGTTCTTGCTCAGCATCCTGTCCTGTGGGATGGATACGCATACGTCTTCCCAATGGAGAGAAGTAACTTGTCACACGTGCAGAGAAATATAGAACTAATTCCTCCCTTTTGTAAGAAGGAACCCATTCTAAGAAATTGAAATCCTAACCCACACTCTCCTCCCAACTGTCTGGCTAATTTGGGCAAACATAGCATTTGAGAGTTTTTGTTTACTTTGAGGTTTTGAAGTTCCTTTGGGTCCCAGGATGACCCATGAAGACAGTTGGACTGACTAGTCCCAGAAAGGGAGTAAGGTGACTATGGAAGAGTTCCATACTGTGATACAGAAGATTCACACAGATAGGAGAGAGATGTATGGTTTTATGGCCCTATCTATACTCCACAGAGCACTATGCAAAGTAACAAGACAGCAGATGAAAGAGCTCTGGTGCTGGTGGGCTTTGGCTACACAATAGAATAGTCCCAATGGGCTAGTCTCCACAATTCATTGGGGAACATGGCAAGGCTTAGGAGTAGGGAGGAGTAGATCCTTGGCTGTGTGTTAAAACCCTATACAGTCAGATGTTTGGGGCAAACTCAGGGCTAGAAAGAGTGTTTACACCCTGGGCTTCACAAGACATCACCTTCTATAAGCTTCATATACCACAGACATCCACAAGGACCACACAACTCCACTTGAGAGGAATGTTGATGGATACCTGGACAAAAATCAGAACAACTTACAAACACAACGTAGGGTGTAAGGATGGCAGCTTGTTTTTTGAGAGCATTTCAGGAGACACAAGGCCCAATGTCATCGTAGCCAAATACAGACCCCAGCTGACCACTGCACCAGCCCTACAGAGGACTGCCTTCTTATCAAAAGAGTGTCCTTCCTTATTCTGCTCAGAAAAGATGTGTGTGTTGGGGGGGAAGGGCAGAAAGGGGTTGTTGTTGGTTGATTGGTTGTTGATGTTCCTTGCAGTTTCCAAGCCAAGAGTGGTAGTTTTTGTTTTTTTGTTTTGTTTTGTTTTGTTTTCCTTTCAGAGTAGATTTTCCTGAAAAATAAAGAGGAACATGAAATCCAAGTGGAACAAATTAGCTGAACAAGTGTCACTGTGACCTCATTTATAACCAGAGCCTGATGGTGTTGAGTGGTGACTCATCAGTGACTGAGGAAGGTAAATGACTACTCACTGGAAAAGCCTGGCCATCAAGAGACATCCAACTGAGGTTAGAAACCTTTGTAGCCAGGCATCTGTGCCTCATGCCTATAATCCCAGCTAGTCAGGGGGCTGAAATCTGAGGATCTCCAGGATAGAAAAGTCCATAACACTTTCATGTCTACTTAACCACCAAAAAGCCAAAAGTGGAGCTGTGGCTCAAGTGGTAGAATGCTAGCCTTGAGCAAAAAAGCTCAGGGAAAGCACCCAGGCCCTGAGTTCAAGCCTTAGGACTGGAGGAAGGAAGAAAAGAAAAGAAAAAGGAAAGAAAGAATGGGAGGGCTATCCAGGGGTGTAGCTCAGTGCTAGAGCACATACGTAGCAAGCAAAAGGCCCTGTATTTTATCTCCAACACTAAAAGTAGGGTACAGGAGATACCACACTGGGGCAAGAAAGACTTGGGCTAGAAAATAACAAGATCCAGATAAGAAGAATGATGATCGATAGATCATCTTATGATGAAACAGTGCAAAGCTGAGCAGCGTAAGCTCACAGCATTACTTACTATTATTGGTATGGATTAGGAACACTAAGAGGACACATACTTACCTCCAGCTAAGATGTAAAGGCTAAGGTTTTCCCCTAGTCCCCACTGGAGCAGCCATTAGCTGCAAATCCTTATTTAAACGAGTGTTAAATGAAGAATTCCTCTCCTTAATTTCACACTAGCCAGGACACAGTTTATTAGTAACCTGTAGTATTGCTTGTCATACTAGACAGGGAAGGCACAGGACTTTTCCCTTATCAAAGTTTCTATGATGGCTCTATCCTGAAGGTTTGTTTTACACAGAGAGAGAGAGAGAAAGAGAGAGAGAGAGAAGACTAAGGATGTGGCTATCAGCTGAACCTTAGCAGAGGCTTCAGTTGAAATTCAGATGTGGCCTTTTCACGTGGCCCAGGCCACACCACAACATGATGTCTAGGTTCCAAAGGCAAATGGAAAAAGAAGAAAGAAGAAAACAGAAAGGAAGCCACATTATATTTAACATGGCTGACACTCTTACTACATTTTACTAAAGTACGGGGGGAGGGAACTTATTGTGTTCCCTATATAAATAGAACCACTTAATAGAAAAATAGCAACTTTGGATTGTAAGATCCAGTGGTCTGAGTGTGGTGGTACATGCCTGTAGCCTCAGCTACTACACAGGAGGTAGAGAGGGTAAAGGATTTCAGTCTGTTACTGGCCAGACAAAAGTTAAGAGCCGATCTGAAAAATAACTAAAGAAAAAAAAAAGTTAATGATGGGTGTGGTGAAGTGGTAGAGTGCTTTCCTGCTTGCCTAATAAGTGTAAGGATCTGAAAGCAAGTCACCAAATGGTCAAGCAGTAAAGAAACACTTCTGTGACTACCATAAGAAAAACCTCACAGAAGTCTTACATGCCTCATACATGTCTTATTAATGAGATTAGGAAGAGGGCTGATAACTCAGTGGCCATAATATATAATAGAAAATATAGCTGTTCACAAAGATG